TCTTTTTGAGACAGGGTCTCCCTGTAGTCCCAGCTGTCCTGGAACTCACTATATAGACCAAGCTGGCCTTGAACTCACAAAGATCCGCCTGCCTCTGCCTCCCAAGTGCTGGGACTACAGGCATGTGCCACCACGCCCGGCCTTAAAAATCAAATTGTACAACTATTTACTACTTTAAAATTTTTTTATAAGAGTAGTGCTATTTATTTATTCATTTATTTATTTTGAGACAGGGTCTTGCTATAAAGGCCTGGCTGGCCAGGAACTCACGCTGTAGACCAGGCTAGTCTCAGACTCACAGAAATCTGCCTGTCTCTGTTTCCCCAGTGCTGGGATTAAAGGTGTGTACCACTATACCCAGCTCTTTGTTTATTTTAAAATCTGATAAAGGGGCTAACCAAATGGTTTAGAGGGTAAAGGCACTTTCCAGCAACCTGAGTTTGATCCCTGGGACCCATATGGTGGAAAGAAAGAACTGATTCCTGAAAGTTTTCCTCTGATCTTCATACATATGCTATGACACAAGTGTGCCTCTCCCATAAGGATCCACAAAATAAAAATAAAATAAAACTAATAAATGTAAAAAAAACCTTTTAAATCTGATAATGGTTTCCATGTTTAATAACTTTCTATTTTTCTGTGGTATTAATAAAGCTAGGTTATCTTAAAGCCAAGTAGCTAGCTTATTTATGAATAGATGGTCTTACATTTTAGCACTGAGTTGAAAACGTTAATAATCTTGATTGCCTTTTTTTTTTTTTGTCTTTTTGAGACAGGGTCTCCCTGTAGTCCCAGCTGACCTGAACTCACTATGTAGACCAGGCTGGTCTTGAACTCACAAGGATCTGCCTGCTTCTGCCTCCCAGTGCTGGGATTAAAGGCATGTGCCACAACACCCAGCTTTGATTGCCTTTTTATGTATGAAAAGGCATCCCCAGAATTTGGTCCCCAGTGATGTAAGGTCTCTGCAGATAGGATCCAAGGGAGCTCAGTCAGATGGAGAACACTCACTGCAATGCTCCTTTAAAAAAAGAAAACAGGTTGGGTGTGCTGGTGCATGTTTTTTATTCCCAGCACAGAGGCAGGTGGATCTCTGTGAGTTCAAGGCCAGCCTGGTCTACATAGCGAGTTCCAGGCCAGCTACAAGGACCCTGTCTCAAAAAGACCAAAGAAGAAGAAGAGGAGGAGGAGGACGAGGAGGACAAGGAGAAAAAAACAAAAAACAAAACAGAGGCTCAGTGATTAAGAGCATATACTGCTTTTGCAGAGGACTGGAGTTCAGTTCCCAACACCCAGGTCAGGTGAATCACATGCTTATAACTCTGCTCCAGGGGATTTGGCACCCTCTTCTGGCCTCTGAGGGCACTGCACTCAGGTGCACAGACCCTCTATCCACATAATTTTAAAAAATAAAGAAATGCAATAACACATAATTTTAAAAAATAAAGCAATGCAATCTTAAAAAAGAAAACAGATTTTGGGCTGGAAAGATGGCTCAGTGTTTTGCTTACTGCTCTTGCAGAGGACCTGGGTTCCGTTCCCAGCACCCACATAGCATCTTGCTCCAGTTCTGGGGAATCCAATGCCCTCTTTTGGCCTTCATGGGTTCCAGCATGCATGCAGGTTGTGCATTTCTTACCTGCTTATGGTGCACATAGACTCACCCTGGCACACACTCATATATGTTAGTAATAAATAATAGATAACCAAATCTTTTAAAATAGCTTTATTGAGATATAACTAATATACCATATTATTTGCCATTTGGGGGTTGTGTATGTGCCATTTGGGGGTTGAGCTCACTATGTAGACCAGACTGGCCTCAAACCTACAGAGATCTGCCTGACTCTGCCTCCTGTGAGCTGGGATCAAAGGTGCCTGCCACTACACCCAGATTATTACAATTAAAAAAATATATTTTATTTATTATTTTTATTTTATGGTATGAGTGTATTGCCTGCATGTATGTGAGTGCACCCATGTCATGCAATGCCTCGGAGGTCAGAAGAGGGCTTTTGAGTCCCCTGGAACTGGAGTTAAGGATGGTTTGTAGCCACCATGTCCATCATGTGGGTGCTGGGAATCAAACCCAGGTCCTCTGCAAGAGCAGTCAGTGCTCTTAACCGCTGAGCCATCTCTCTAGCCCTAATTAATTACAATTTTAATGAGGATAATTTGATGATCTTATTATATTTACAGAATTGTACAACCATCACAACCAATATAATTCATCAAAGAATCTTTTCCCCAAAGAAGCCTGTACCCATTATTAGTCACCCAGCCCCAGATAACCATTTATCCTGTCTCTCTAAATTTGCCTTTTCTTCATATTTTCCATAAGTAGAATCACATATTATGTGATCTTTTTTTCTTGGCTTCTTAGCATAATGTTTCAAGGTCCATCCATGTTGGGACATGTATCAATACTTTATTGTTTTTTATTAATAATTAGCATATAAATACCTACTCAATTTATTTTTATTTATTTTTTGGTCTTTTTTGAGACAGGGTCTCCCTGTGGCCCCACTGGCTTGGAACTTGATATGTAGACCAGGCTGGCCTTGAACTCACAGAGATTCTCCTGCTTTTGCTTCCCAAGTGCTGGTGTTAAAGGTGTATGCCACCACACCTGGCTTATATATTCAATTTATAGATATACTATAATATTCATTCACCAGCTGATGGACAAATTCAAATGAACATAAATGTAAGGATTATTTCTAGGCTCCAATTCTATTTTCCTTACCAATATGGCTGTCTTTATTCCAGTACAACACTGTCTTAATCCTTTTTAAAATTTTTAAAATTTGTTTTTATTTTATGTGTATGAGTGTTATGCCTGCATGTATGTAAGTGCATCTGTGTCAAGCAGTGCCTGCAGAGGACAGAAGAGGACGTCAGATACCCTCGACCTGGAGTTATGGATGGTTGTTAGCTGCTATATGGGTGCTGGGATTTAAACCTGCATTTCCAGTAAGAACAGCCAGTGCTCTTAACTGCTAAGCCATCTCTTCAGGCCCTGTCTTAATTATTCTTGCTGTGTAGTTAAGTTTTCAAAGTAGGGAGCGTAAACCCTGAAACATTGTTTTCCTTTCCAAAGACTGATACTGTAAACAGAATTATTTTCTTCATTTTTTTTCCTCACTTACTTTGTGTATGTGTGTATGTGTATATACACACACATTTGTTCCTTGGGTGAACAAGCCTGTGTGTATGCGTGCGGAGGCCAGAGGACAATATAGGTGCCATGCTCTGTCTCGCTTCTCCTTATTCCTTTGAGACAAGGATCTCTCACTTAAGGTAAAGCTCATACGTTTTTCAGCTAGGCTGGTGGCCAGTAAGTCTCAATCTGCACCTACCACTTACACTGTTGGGGTTACAAGTGCACATTCAGCCAACCCCAGCTTTTTGTTTTGTTTTGGTTTTTGAGATAGAGTTTCCCTGTAGCCCCAGCTGACCTGGAACTCAACTTTGTAGACCAGGCTTGCCTTGATCTCACAGAGATGTTCCTGCCTCTGCCTCCCAAGAGCAGGGATTAAAAGTATGCGCTACCACACCTGGAATCACACCCAGTTTTTTACATGGATGCTGAGATCCAAATTCAGGTTCTCATGAGCCACTGAGCCAAACCCCTCCCCCTTTTTTTTGTCTTTTTAAGACAGGGTCTCCTTGTAGCCCCAGCTGGCCTGGAACTCACTATGTAGACCACAGAGATCCACCTGCCTCTGCCTCTGCTGGGATTAAAGGCATGCACCACCAGCCCAGCTACTCCCCCTACCCCGGCTTTATTTTAACAGTATCTGACTGTGTAGGCTGACCTTGAATTCACTATGTAGCCCACAGTGATAACCTCAGACTTGTGGTTATCTTCCTGCCTCAGCCTTCCAGGTATTGGGATTATAGTTGCATGCTTGGCTTTCTCATTTGTTAATGTGTAAATAATAATTGATTTTTAAAAATATTTGCGGGCTGGAGAGATGGCTCAGCGATTAAGAACACTGGTTGTTCTTGCAGAAGACCGGGGTTCAAATCCTAGCACCCACATGACAGCTAACAACCGTCTGTAACTCCAGTTCCAGGGGATTCGACAGCCTCTTCTGTCTTCCACAGGCATTGCATGACACGGGTGCACTTACCTACACATAGGCAATACATGCATACACATAAAAATAATAAATGTTTTAGCTGGGCGTGGTGGCGCAGCACGTGGTGGCGCAGCACTCTGTAGTCCCAGCACTTGGGAGGCAGAGGCAGGCAGATCTCTGTGAGTTCAAGGCCAGCCTGGTCTACAGAGTGAGTTCCAGGACAGCTGGGGCTACGGGGAGACCCTGCTTCAAAAAGACAAAATAAAATAAATAAATAAATAAATAAATAAATAAATAATTTTAAAAAAAGAAAATATTTGTCTACATTCTTCAACCTTGCTGAGCTCATAACTTTTATGTGTGAATTCATTAGGATGCTCTATATACATGACTGTATTGTCATCAAATATAGTTTAATAGCTCTTTTCTAATCAGGACACCTTGAATTTCTTTGTGTGGCATAGCTCTCCTATCATTTTCTCTTTAGGAGGAGCCTGGCATGCCCCATGAATCCTCAGAGGATCTGTTTCATTTCAATGTTGGGGGCTGGCATTTCTCAGTTCCTAGAAGCAAACTTGCTCAATTTCCAGACTCACTGCTGTGGAAAGAGGCCTCAGCCTTGACCTCTTCAGAAAACCAGAGGCTATTCATTGACAGAGATGGTTCCACATTTAGGCACGTGCACTATTACCTCTACACGTCCAAGCTCTCCTTCTCCAGTTGTGCAGAACTGAACTTGCTTTATGAGCAAGCGCTGGGTTTGCAGCTGATGCCTTTGCTGCAGGTAAGATATGCTTTTCTTCCAAGAGTGAATAGTCACACAGGCTTTACATCACAAATGCTATATTCTTTTACATATTGGTTGCTAAGATGCCCCTTTTAATGGACAAATGTGATGAATAAGTTAAAATAATGACAATATAGCGGAATTGCATGATGGTTTTGTTTATTGTATGTATGTTTGCTTGTTTTGGAGACAGGTTTTGTTTTTGTTTTATTATGTTGTTTGAGACAGCCTCACTATGCAGCCTTAGCTGGCCTGGAACTCACTATGTAGACCAGATCTGCCTGCCTCTGTCACCTGAGTGTTAAGATTAAAGGTGTGCACTCCATACCCAGTCCTTGGGGTTTTTGTTTGTTTGTTTGTTCGTTTGAGGCAAAAAAAATTATTTACTTATTTTATGTGTATTCATGTTTTACCTGCATGTACGTAAGTGCGCCATATGTGTGCAATGCCTGCAGAGGCCAGAGGAGGGCATTGGATTCCCTGGAACTAGAGTTATGGATGGTTGGTAGCTGCCATATGGGTGCTAAGAACTGAACCTGAGTCCTCTGGAAGAGCAGCCAGTGCTCTTAATTGCTGAGCATCTTTCCAGCCTCGGTTTTTTGGTTTTTAAAAATATTTTATTTATTATTTTTATGTGTATGAGTGTATTGCCTGCATGTAAGTGAGTGCATCTGTATCGTGCAATGCCGTGGAGGTCAGAAGAGGGTTTCAGATTCCCCAGAAACTGGGGTTAAGGATGGTTCGTAGCCACTATGTGGGTGCTGGGAATTGAACCCAGGTCCTCTGCAAGAGCAGTCAGTGCTCTTAACTGCTGAGCCATCTCTCCAGCCCCCAGCCTCAGTTTTTTGATGTTTTGAAACAGGGTCTCATATAGCTCCAGTTGACCAAGAACTCACTATGTAGCCAATGTTGACTTTGAACTCCTGATCTTCCTGCCTCTACCTAGAGCTGGGACTGTAAACATGTACCACTAGGCCTGGAGTTTTTTGTTTTTGAGACATGGTCTTATGTAGCCCAGGCTAGCTTTGAACTCACTGTGTAGCAGAGGATGATGTTGAACTCCACACCCTCTTGCCTCTGACTCTCAAGTGCTGACATAATATGCCTGTGCCACCACAACATTTTTTTTAATTTTGTGCATGTGTGTGTATGTGTATGTGTCTGCATATGTGTATGCTTTGCAGGTGCCTACAGAGACCACAAGAGGTTATCAGATTCCCTGGGGCTGGAGTTACAGGTGATTGTGAGCCATCCAATATAAGTGCTTGGAACCAAATTCTGATCCTCTACAAGAACAGCATGCATCCTTAATCACTGAGCCTTCTCTCTAGTCCCTGTCTTATTTTAAGAACTTTCAATATCTTTCTTATAAAACATTAAAGTACCACCAAAAGGGGCTGGAGGAAGGGCTCAGTGGTTAAGAGCACTGGCTGCTCTTGCAGAGAACCCAGGTTCAGTTTTTAGGACCCACACAACAGCTAACAACAGTCCATAACTCCAATTCCAGGGGATATGATGTCTTCTGGCCTCAGTGGGCACTCCAAGCCTGTGGTGCACTTACATACATAGAAGCAAAACACTCATACACTTAAAATAAAAATTTTTTATTTTTTTAAATGCCTAAAGCACTACCAAAACCAAAAGCATTACCTTCTAATTTTTTTCCAAATAGTGATTGTTTCAGTGGTTGAACTTAAGTAGATTGTTCAGTAGTTTGGAAAGAGGATTTTTTAAAATCTGGAAGACCTAAATATTATGACTAGAGAGGAAATTTGCCCATGTTCCATATTAATCCCACTGTCTGGACAATATGTTGTTTGATTCTATTTCTACAAGGGCTAACTCATGGCTACAGTGCCATTCTGTAACCACCAATTGCCTCCACAACACCTCTTAGAAGAAAACTGGGATAGAGTGTGTAAGCATCTGGGTCAAGAGCAAAGAGAACATCTGTTCTTTAGTGTATGTACTTATGGATGATCCTTGCTAAATAAGTCAATATTTTCTCTTATTATATATTCAGAAATTAAAAACTGTTACCGGACTGTGATGCCAATTGCTGTTGTACTCTTTTTAAATTTTCTTCAAGCTTCCCACTTGAGTTTAATTTTACAACTGTCACAGGAATGGAATACTAGAATTGTTTGCAAATGGCTTTAAAACCACTTAAATGACCTGGTGCATCAGGATTGCTGATGACTCTATGCCAATACACCTTTTGTAGGGAAAGGGAGTAACTTGTTGATTGTAGAAAATCAAAAAGGTCAAGGTGCATTTTTAAAAATGCAAGCCTATTATGCAAACAGTTTATTAAGTCCTTTGCCCCCTTTGCTGTCCGAAACTGAAACAAAATGTATCTGGAAGCAACTTGTAAGTGGGTGGCAACGACTCAGAGGCCAATGAGCTGGTCTGATTCCAAAATTCCAAGATGTGTGAGTAGCTGAATTTGAAGAATTATGTGGATCTGCCTGCCTAAAACAGACTGTGAAACAAGTGCTTGTGCTTTGGAAATGCTGTTTTTGAAGAAATAAACATTTGGGCTGGCCCAGCTAAAGTGGTATTTATTCATTGAAGCAGAGTGTAAATACAGCTGGGAGCCAACAGCCACCTCAAGCAAGTCAACAGCCTCACATATTTCCCCCACTTTTACTGCTGTTGAGGCCTATCTAAATCCTCCGGGTTGCCTAAATGAACAAACACTGCACAGAGAAAATGAATTCCAATTCTTAATCTAAAAACTCTTCTTTTTAATTTTTTTAAATTTATTTTTATTTTATGTCTATAAGTACTTTGCCTGCATGTATATAAGTGTACCACGTGTGTGCAGTGCCCACAGAGACCAGAAGAGGGTGTTAAATGATATCCTAGAACTGAAGTTACAGACAGTTGTTAGCTGTCATGTAGGTGCTGGGAACAGAACCCAGGTCTCTGCAAGAGCAGCCAGTTGCTCAAGCATTTAATCACTATTTAGTGTAAATGTTCTGGGTTCCAGGCATTATGTCTATGTACTTTAGGGAAAACAAGGAATGGTATAATATAACATAAGCCATGTATGTTAGTGACATAGTGACATATGTACTTTATTTCCTTCCTTCCTTCTTTTTCTCTTTCTCTTTCTCCTTCCTTGATGTTTTGAACCTATTTATTAATATATGAAAGACATAATATATAAATTTTTTTTGGTCTTTTTTTTTTTTGAGGCAGGGTCTTCCTGTAGCCCCAGGTGACTCACTATGTAGACCAGGTTGACCTCGATTTCACAGAGATCTCTTGCCTCTGCCTCCAAAGTGCTGGGATTAAAGGTGTGCGCCACCATACCTGGCTTGTAATTTCTTTTAAGAAATGGGGGTTTCACTATGTTGCCTAGGCTAGCCCTGCACTCCTAGGTTCCAGTGATCCTCCTGCCTCAGTCACCCATAGCTGGGACTACAGGCACATGCTACAACATCTAGTTTCATATGTATATTTAAAATTTTGTAGTAGCCAAATTTTAAAAAGTAAAAAGAGAGGTTGTATTAATTTGATGATATATTTTATTTAAACCAATATTTTCAAATTTTAAAATTTAAAATATTTTACATTCTTGTTTTGTGCCAAGGCTTCAATATCTGATATATATTTTATATTTATAGTGAAGAGCCAAAATGATCTGACTCCATTTTGGCTAGCTTCTTTAGACAAGCCCAGACAAGCTTAGGCATATTGTACATGTAAAAGCCTTATAACGTATGAGCAAAAGCTTCTGACTCTAAAAGATACCAGTCAGCACATTCCAATGCCCTGAAGACAACCCCTACCAATCAAGACTCCCCCCATACACAGGATATGGGGACATCCAATTATTTTAAAAAGATGCTTGGTGTGTGTGGGTTTCTGTGGAGTTCCCCAATAAAAACCCCTGCCTGCTATTGTTTGGGGCCAGACTCCGTCTTTGGCTAGTGTAGTCTGTGCCCGGCTAGCCACCATTTGGTTGTTGTCTTTTTTTTACTTTAAATTCTTAAATAAACTTTTTGTATAATCTTTTTGGTGTCTGTGGGAATTATTCTTGATTCTCGAACCCTAACATTGTGGGGGCTCATCCAGGATTGGAGACTATAGACCCCCCAGACCCCCAGACGCGCCACTGGAGCTGGTCTTGGTAAGTTCTGCCTGCCTTCCTCTCTCTCTCTCTCTCTCTCTCTCTCTCCTGCTTTTCGGTAGTCTGGACATCCTGGGGCTCAACAGAGATCAGGCGGCTGTGCTATTGATCCCAGAGCTGGAGGAGAATGGGGGATGCCCCGACTCCTCTTCTGATAAGGGGTTGTGCTCCAGCCTGACATGGAATCCAGGTGGGACTGACCCAGAGTCTTGGCCCAGCCAGATGTGGAATCCGGGTGGGCCAGACGCAAGATTCTGGTCAAGTTTGATGTGGAATCCAGGCTGGCCAAATCTTTTTTGGGAAAGGGACAGGGGAAGCCTTCTCGGCTGACTCCACGTGCTGCGAGATTTTAATTTCTCCCTCTAGGGAGCCGCCATCTCATACTGTCCTCACCCTCTGCTCGGAGCTCCACCTTGTCTATCAACTTTCCATCCTTCTTCTCATACTCATTCCTCTCCTTATATTCTTTTGCCTTGAAACTTACCCACAATGGGCCAGAAAGTCTCATCATCTTCAGTTCCCCTTGATCTAGTTCTTAGTCATTTTCAGGAGTACAAATGAGCGGCTTTGAACGTGTCTGGACTCAGTCAAGCCGACCGCCTCCAGACCCTCTGCACCATTGAATGGCCCTCCTTTGAAGTCACATGGCCACCTGAAGGGTCCTTTAACCTGTCCCTCATCTACAGGGTTCAAGGAGTTATCTTTGGGGAACCGGGGCACCCTGACCAGATCCCCCACACCCTAGGTTGGTGGTATCTGGTTCTTCCCCCACCCCCAGCTGGCTGCGTCCCTTACTGCCACCCCTGCCATCAGGGCCTAAGGGGTCAGCCACTTTGCTTCCCCTGAAGAAAGTCCAGAC